TCGCGATGAACAAAATTCTCAACAGCCATTTTCAAACTCTTCTCAGACAACCTTTAGTGTATCCACCATAACTTTTTGTACACAACTCCAAATTACAAATGGTTTACCCTTCTGAAACCTAGACACTAAGGACTACAACTTTTATTTTTTGGATCATCTCTAGATTCGTTATAGATTGTGAGATATAAGCTTCCAAAATCAGACGACAGAAAGTATAAATTCCTTCTTTGCGAACGCAAAGAACAAGGTTGCAACAACAAAATTCTTCTTCACGAACGCGGGAGTATCCTCGTGAACGCGAAGAACAACACCAGACATGAGAAAACCAGCCTCCAAAGTAGCCCAAAATGATCCGAAAAGACCCCAAACATACCCGAGGCCCTCGGGACCCTGTCCAATCACACTAACAAGTCCCAATACATAACATGAACCTGCTCAAGGCCTCAAATCACATCAAACAACATCAAAATCATGAATCGCACCCCAAATCAAGCTCTATGAACTTTAGAACTTCAAGCTTCTACGTTCGATGTCGAAACCTATCAAATCAAATCCGATTGACCTCAAATTTTGCACACAAGTCATAATTGACATTACGGACCTACTCCCACTTCCGGAATCAGAATCGGGCCCCGATATCAAAAAGTCCACTCCCGGTTAAACTTCTCAAAAACCTTCAAATTTTTAACTTTCGCCAAATGACTCCGAAACGACCTACAGACCTCTAAATCCACATCCGGACGTGCCTCTAAGACCAGAAAAATCATACGGAACTATTTCTAGGCTCGCAATCCCAAAAGGATATCGATAACATAAAAATCTACTCCAACCCAAACTTAAGAAATTATTAAACCTTTAAAATATCAACCTGCCGTAATAGGTGCCGAAGTACTACCAGGCCACCCGATACTCGACCCGAGCATACGCCCAAGTTCAAAATTATCATACGAACCTATTGGAACCTTAAATTCCTAATTCTGAGGTCGTTTACTAAAAATCTGAATCTTAGTCAATTCTTCCAACTTAAAGCTTTTGACTTTAGAAATTTCTTCCCAAATCAACTCCAAACCTCCCGAAATTCGATTCAGACCACACATACAAGTCATAATACCTGAAGTGACACTACTCTAGGCCTCAAACATCCAAACGGCGTGCTAGAGCTCAAAATGATCGGCTGGGTCGTTACATGTTAGTTTTGTTACTTATTGAGTACATGTGGTCAGTTGTACTTATACTACACTTCTGCACCTTACGTGCAGATCTTGAAATTGATGCTGCTGTGAATGGTGCGAGCTGGCATTGAAGACGTACTTGCTTTCCGGACAGAGCTATCACTTGTCCTTGGTAGTGTTAGATTCAAATTCTCTTTAAGTATATTTCGAACAGACGTTGTATTTATTTTCATACCATCTTTATAAATCTAGGTCTTAGTGACTCGTGACTTATACTACTAATCATTTGGTTATTGTATAGAAATTCAGTTAGTTCACTTATTGGTTTCATATTAATTTTTTTAAATTGTGTTGATTGTTATTTGACTTAACTAGCGGGTTGTTAGGTGCCATTACAACTAGGAGGATTTTGGGGTCGTGACACTTTTCCTACATACATATTGTTCTTACTTATAATTATTACGTACAAATTTATCAGAAACAAACACATACTTAAATTTATTCTTAACAACAAGCGCAGTAGAAATTAAGTTCTTATGAATTTCAGGGACATGGAGTATATTTTTTAGGGTCACAACTTTGCCCGAAATCATCTCCTAAGATATCTTGCCAACTCCTTTAATTTTGGCAGTTGCGGAATTTCCCATAAAGATAGTCTCGCGGCTCCCACCGGAACATAACAAGCAAATAATCCTTTGCCAGCATAAATATAGTGTGTGGCTCAAGAATCAATCATGTACTCCTTGGAATTTCCTGCCAAGTTGCATTCAGAAAAGCATAACACACAAGTTCTCCATTTCTCCGTTCTTTTCAATCATGTTTACTTAACCATTTTTCTTATCCTTCTTTGGAGTACAGCAGTCTGAAACCTTATGTTCAATTTTTTTTTATAGTTGTGAAAATTGCCTTTGAACTTTATTTTAGACGGATAATTCTTTAGTCTAGAAGGCTTCTTTCTCTTTTTGCTATTTTGTGGTGCCTCTCAATAATATTTGCTTTTATTATTGTTGAATTCCCATGAGCCTTTTTTCAGCAGTCTTGTTATCCTCTTTACTCTTTAAACGAACAATAAGATCTTCAAGCGACATCTCCTGCACTTATGGTTCAAGTAATTCTTAAATTTCTTTCATAAATGAGGTATTTTTCAATAAATGCCGCTACTTGAAATGCTTCATATAATTACTAACATGATCAATATATTTTATATTGATTCGGCTCATACCTTCAGCAAGAAAATCATGAATGAAGAATTGCAGTTCTTGGACTTGAGTAGTAACAGACTTGCTATCAACTATTTTAAAGTCCAAAAATTTTGTGGTCCACAAACTTCTTTAGCCCAACGTCTTCAGTCTAGTATTTATTTTCAAGAAAATTCCATAATTCTTTCGAAGTTCTTAAGTTATTATAGACGTTATACAAGCCATCTTCCAAATAATTACGTATATAATTCTTGCAAAGGAAGTCAGAATGCTTCCAAGCTTCAGTGACCATAAACCGCTCATTGTCGGGAGTTTCTTCTGCCAAGGCTAGAACTCTTTAATAAATCTCGGCAAACAGAGGATGGTCAAAGAGAAGAGCATCTTCTGCTGCCAATGCTTGAAGTCAGTACGCAAAAATTTTTCGGCCTTTTCTGCCGGTGCAGGCATTGTGCGGCTTGACAATGCAGTAGTCGTCGCAGCAGTAACTGTCACAACAAAACTATTATATTATTTTGTATTAATTGTTATTTTTTGTCAAAAATTAACATAGAAATATTTCGAAAATTGGTGAAGTTTTTAACCTTCACACTGAATACAAACAACCTAGTAGAAAATCACAAGGATTTTAATCTCGAATTAGAATAGAAAGTCACAATGACTTTAATCTCTAACAGTGAGTCAAAAGACACGAAGACTTTAATCTCAATAAAGGAGTAAAAAATTCGAAGATTTTAGTCTCTAAAACAAAACATAAGATGAACATATAAACAAATTAAAAGTGTGTTAATAAACAGAAAACTAGAAAATTTAAAATGTTAGTTAACAAAAAACATGAAATGCAAAAATATTACGGGCCCACAATTTTCTTGTATGTCCTTAAAGGATTTAATCATCTCACTGTTGCCCAAAGTATTTGGATTAATTCCTCCCAAGATAAAACAGATTGTTCTGTAATAGCGGCAATGCAAATTATAAAACTTTTGTTAAGTCAAATGGTAGAATAAATTACACACTGTCCACTTACATTTTACTTTAAAAAATTATGTAGAAATACAAAAAAAAAAAAAGGATAGATTTTGCTGGGGAAAAATAAGGTCAAGTCTCTAAATTTATAACCAACGAATTGGAGTTTCCACACGTGCAAAAGATGCTTGTTCATGAAAAAAGTTTAGTTTCAGATGAAAATAATAAAAAAGGTAAAATAAATCACATAAAACGATAAATAAACTTGGTCCAAATTAGTATATTAACCAATCAGATCGTTTATTCGAAGTTGAAGCCGAGACGAGTGATGCGCAAGATTTGCTTCCTCTTAACTCTCTACGAGCTAGTAGAAGCGCTTCTAAATATAAGTATAAGTGTAAAACAATCTTCCTTGTGCTTTCTAATGCGGTACAAAGTTCCTTTATAAAAATAACTTTTAAAAAAAAAATCATATCCCTACATTTCTTTTTCCTCCGTTTCCTATTTACATATCTACCAAAACCCAACATTACTACTCTACACAATCAACCTCAGCTCATTTATTAGCAAAAATCTATCATTATTCTTAAAATTTCTCAGCCTTTTCTATTATTAAGAAATCATGGGAAAAAAAGTTCATTTGCGAGAGCAGGTTAATGAAGTTGGGCAAAATTTTCAAAGTGAAGGTTCAGTTGCTCTTGCCAGCGCTGAAAATAGGTTACATAATGGGTGATATAGGCGCGAAGAGAAGTAAAGGTAGTGATGTAATATTTTTGCTAGGTTATGAAAAAGATATATAGTTTGTTCCCTCAAAAAATGGTAACTGAAGGTTTTTAGTGGTGGTGTTTTTGGTGAGTTATATTTTAGCAGTGAGAGGACGGAGACGAAGGTGGGAAGCCTGGTCTTTGGTGTTAAAAGTGATGTTTTACTTGTTTCTCTAGCGATGTGAGTTAAGGAGAAGGGAAAAAAACTTTCAATTTGAGTATGATTGGACGTAATTACACAGTTTGATATATTTGTCTGGTCAAGTAATTACTTGGTCAGCATGAAATTAGATATATTTAAGAGGGTATAATTATACTCTTCAATTCAGGTGACAATTGGTGATAATTACACCGTGTAATTACAAGGTAGCTCATTAAAAGGATAGATTATTTAACTTATTCACCGTATCTGTGTAAATAAATTTTAGTCACCTGTTTTAATTATAGGTCACTAATCTCACTTATAGTTTGATTAGAAGAGCTGAACTAACAATAATTTGTGTCTTAATTCTCTTTGAGCTTATCTGATAGTAATTTTTTTTTCCTTTGCTAATGACAGGGTTAGTGGAATTGGAACTAAATTCTCACGTGACTTTCTACTGTTCTATTTACTGTTCTTATGTAAATTTATTATTTAATCAACACAAGAAATTAGAAAAGTATGAGGATTTGATCTGTCAATCCAGCTACAGACGTAAACAAGAGTAAACTATAAAGCACCAATTAGCTTTAACTAATGAAGAATTTGGAAAATAAGAAATTGCACAATTTACATTTATCTAAAATTTGAATAAGTAGGCTCATAAATTGTACTTAGTACACCATCGCAGGTTGAGGAAGACAACGATATAGAACGTAGAACTCTTATTTCGATGTTAGAATAGCACATACATTTGGTTAAAATTAGATGCTAAATTATCATTATTTACAAATATTTGGAAGAGTAAGCTAAAACTAGTGTACACTCATATGAAATGAAATAAGAATTAGTACGAAATTAAAAATCATACATGAGCAAACGCAAGTACTAAGTAAGCAAGACAACCTAGAGATTTACTTCTGGAAAGATCAAACTTTCCGTATAAACATATCCACATGTGTCAATGTCATCACTAGCTAGAGACCATATTAGATTGCTAAATCCATATGGTCCTTTGGATGTCATAAATTCGGTTCTTCTTCCGCAGCTGAATAAAACTTCACCATCAGCAAACATATACTTGGGTACGATTGGTATGATGGAAGGAATCCTGGCATTTGTGATGGTAAATAATTTAATCCAAGATTCTTCTACGCCGTAGTCTTTCATTACCCATAAATCAAAAAAATTAGTTCCATTGCAGTAAACACAATTTATAGAGAGCATTCCTCCCAACACTGCTACGCCATGGTCGATCATGTCAGACGGCAAGCACATTCGTTCTGGCAACGGTATCTCTCCGTACTGCTCATTTGAAATATTAAATGAAATAACAGAAAACAAAAAGCCATTTCTTTCTGTAAAACCATGCCAATGAAATGCTCCATGTACAAATGCCAGACAGTCCATACTGTCGGTCGATGACAAACAGTTGTAATCCTTATCGTTGCTATCACTAATTTCTCTCCATGAACCACTTTTTAGTGAGAGAATTTCATTGGATATTTCACCATCCTCGTCATTCTCATAATCTTCATCCTCCTCAACCTTTAAGACCTTATAGTCATCACTAATTGGGTCATATCCCAATCCATAAATAGAATAATTGGAATCCTTATTCTGGTCGGGAAGTACTATTGATTCTCTTGTTAAGGGATTCCACAACAACAATATTGAAGAATTAGGTGTATTATCAATCCCAATTAAAAACAAGCCATCACAACAACAATAGATCTTGCAGAAGCCCGGAACAAAGTTTGAAGGGCAATCAAGATTCCGAACATCCTCAACGATACGATGCGACGACAAAGAGGAAGAATAGAAGTAAAAAGTATCATCCTTAGGGCATGTTTGGCCAATAAGCATTTTTGGGGGATTTTGATTCTTCGCATGATTGAGATGCTTCTTCTTAAAGTGAGGTTCAGAGATTAATGTCTTCCAAGATTCAGAAACACACTTGAATCGAAGAAGAGACTTCACTGGTAACCTTCTCAGGATTTCCTCTTCAATGCGACTTCCCATTGGTATATGTTAATTCGAAAAACGAACAACAAAGATTGAAGAAAGCTATGGTGTGAACCTTTCAAACAATACTTGTGTCGATCAAACAATTTGAACAACGGAGATTGAAGAAAGCTATGGTAAGAGGCTTCTAATAATTATTCACACATATTTATAACATACAAAACCAACTTCAACTAGGAAACGAAGATATGAAACCACAACAATTTAGGATTCCCAACCTTGGTTTAATTCCTGGAAATTAATCAATGGGATCGGTTATGTTTGTCGAGGAAAAAAAAATTAAATTAAATATGAAGTCCTTCGCTTGTTGATTCCTTCTATTTTATCAAATCATAAGAAGGAAAACTTACCGACACTTCTGTTGCAACTCACTTGAAGTACCGAACGTGGGATTAGGTGTGTTTGTAACTGAAACAGAAAAGGATAGTAAACTTAGGGTTATAGTACTTATTTCTGGGTTAACATCCCATTCTGCAGCGGCTAATGTATGGGCTCAACCTATATTTGACCCATTAATATCATGGGATCTTTACACAAATAGTCGATCGAATTTACTGTTTATTTTTTCTAGTCAATATACGTAAATTATAGAATAATTATGTATGATTATACACATATTATACATCTATCTATATCTATATCTATATCTATACTATATTAAAAGCACCAAGTCCCATAGCGAAATGTCGTTCGTCTTTTTTGCTCTTCTAAAACAGAGTTCACACTGTACAAAATAGTCATTTAGTTATTTTCCTAATATCTAGGAATATTCATTAATTTATTTTCCTAATATATAGGAATAGTCATTTATTTTTTTTCTAACCATAAATTCTTTCATTATTCAAATTGTATAGGCAAACACTTCCATAAAAGAGCTATCATTCCAAGTTTTGGTTTCCAGGTCTCTTTCTTTGAATATAAGCAATTTACATTTATTCATGCTCGGATTGACTTTTTAATCATGATAGGAATTACTTTCTGAGTTGTACTTAACTCTTTGATATTTGACCAACTAGGAATATAAACTACTTAGTAACTCTGGTTGTTACTAAGCATGAAGATCAGTTAGAAAGAATATGCAAAGCGTCGCAAAGAAGAAAGAAAAGTTAAAAACCATTAATATGTCTCTTATTATTTTTTGGTAGTTTATTTTGTTGACTAGCTTAAAGTTTTCTTTTGCTTAAAGTCCGGCAATACTCTTTTTAGGCGGATCCATTACAGACATCATGTGTAATAAAGGAGTCGTGATATGATAATTAACCAGTCATAAAATTTGCAATTGTAACCACGTTAGGGATCTTGTGAAGAAAATTTGATAATATTCTAAAATCAAGCAAAGAATGGTCTCGTCAAAACACACACACAGATAGTAGAAGTAAAAGTTGTTTCTGCATTATTATTGAATATATCATAGCTAGCAGTTTTTTTCACAGTGGCGGACGCACGTGGTGGCAAGTGGGTTCAACTGAATCCGCTTTATCAAAAAGAAATACTGTGTATATGTATAAATTAGAATTAAAGCTGCGTAAATTTTATATAAATTTTTTATTTGAACCCACTTGACAACTACTATTTTACGACTAATGTTATGTACTTCTAAGATTGAACCCGCTTGCACAAAATCCTAGGTCCGTCCCTGATTTTTTGTTGACAACGGTTTGGATTTTATTTATATATATGGCAGTTTTTATTTGATCTTTATCTTAAAATCTTCTACACTAACTTCTCAATTATTTTATCTTTTTTTATTTCTTGTTTTAGATTTGAAGGATTTTAAATTTGAGTTAAGTTACAGATTTTGAACAGGTTGTTTGGACCATTGCATTTCAAAAAAAACAATTAGTTAGAAATTCAATCTATGTCTACTTAGTTCACTATTAGTTTTTCCTACGTTTGATAATTAACAATACTAATTTATTGCCAACTTAAATTACTTACTTTAAAAATTATCAACATTTAATTTTCTTCTTAATTTTGAGTAGTTTTAAATCAACTTAGATTTTATGTGTATATATATTTTCCTTATTTTAATTGTATTGCTTCTAAACTATATTGCTTTTCTTATTGCATTGGTAAACTTAAAGCCTAGTTATGGGTGTTTAACGGGCGGGCTGGGACGGGCTGGACAAAAAAATTTAGCCCGTCCGTTTAACGTTGCGGGCTGTTAGTGGGCTGAGTTAGCGGGCTGTGGATTTTTTTTTTTTTAAAGTAAATTTTATTTAGTCTTATTCAATGTTATTGATACTTAAGTGTTTGCAAACTTTTAAGGCTTAGAATTAAACTTTGAAGTTTAAAATTTTATATTTGAATTTTATAATGTTAAAATTAAAATTTGAAAGTAAGTGGCTACACAAAATTATTTAATAAGATCTATATGTAAGGATCAAGCTCCGAAGACTTTCATTTGATATTTTTATTTGAATAATATATAATATTTCAAATTAAGTTGCAAGTTCTTTTTTGATTTTGTTATTTTTGAACTTGCAAATTAAAAGTTTACAACAATTATAAAAAATAAATAGTACATCACATGCTTTGCATCATTTTTGTAAGTTCATCCATGTCAACATGAAGTTCTTGGTTTCCGGCTTTCGTTGAATCAGAACCATAAACCATTATATCTCCAATTTCTTGGTCCTCCGCTTTATCTACCTCGTCACGCCCTTGATTTCGTCGTTCTGATCTTATCCAATCTCTGAAGCACACTAGAATTTCCAAAGCATTGCTACCCAATGAATGACGGGTATCTCCTAGTTGCTGCCTTACTTGGCTAAATGCGCTCTCTGATGTGACTGTTGAAATCGGCACATTTAGCACGTCTGGAGCCATGGCCGAAAGAATATGAAATTGATTTGAGTTGCTCCAACCAACCCAGTGGTAAAATTCCTTTGTGCGGGGCTCTGCTGACTTTTACAAGTAGAATTGAAGTTCATCAATATTCCTGCTACTGGTTTGTTGATGCTCCCCTATTGTAGACCAAATCAAATAATATTCAACACCATCATTATCATCCAAAGCACTGGTCCCAGATGTTGAAACTGAACTTGAAGGAATATTTGCATCTACAGTAGAAGAAGCATCAACAATGTTAGCATAATAATTATATAATATTTCTAAATATTTGTGTAGATCAGAAATACAAGTGTCAATATCAGGAATTTCAGTTGGTCCAATATCCACATAAGAATATAAAGCAGTGATTAATTGGCGACAAGTGGCCATTTTGATAGAAGGGTTTAAAACAGCACCAATTAGTTAAATAGGGGGAGTTGGGTAAAAATATTTTTTATACTTATCTAGCATAGATTCAACAACAGAAGTATATCCTTCTTTCTTCTTCAAATTATGTAGTAAAAGAGAAATTTCAGCAATATGAACTAAACCATTTGCAATAGTAGGATAATAAGCTCCAGAAAACTCAAGTATAGCCACATAAAATTTTTGTAAAAACTTTACAACATCTTCAATGACATCCCAAGTTCTAAATGTTAACAAACGGCTAGGATCGGTACAATGAGAATTAGCAACTTCAGTTATAGGCATTCTATATTTATAACAATATTTTAAGAATAAATAAGTATAATTCCATCTAGTAACTATTTCTTCAGGTATGAGTCTTGGTTTTAGTCCATAGTGTAGACATTTTTCTTTAAATGCATTTAATCTAGCACATCTATTATTTCCTTGAATTACACCAACAACTCTTCTAACTAAAGTGATATCATCTCTAAATAATTCAAGGCCACTCTTCACAATCAAATTATAAATATGACATGCACATCTAACATAAATATTTCAGAAAGTGGTGGGTGTAAATGCAATTTTAATATTGTAATAGCAGCATTGTTGTTAGAAGCATTATCAAATGACACACATAAAATTTTTTCTGCAAGATTATAAAATATAGCAACTTCATGGATAGTATTACTTATAAATGCACCAGTATGACTTTGATATTCATCATATTTAAAAGCAATAATACGTATTTGCATACAAAAATTACCATCTATCCAATGGCATGTAACAGTCAAATAATTATTACCATTTACAGTACGACCAATATCAGAAGTAAGAGAAATTCTACAAGAAAGACTGGCGAACAAATAACGTATATATGTCTGATATTGTCCAAAAAGCCTAAAGATATCAGCTCTACAAGTACTTCTGGGAATACCTTTAAACAAAGTGTTATAAATTCTTTGAATATAAGTAACAAGATATGGTGAAGAGGCAAAACTAAAAGGTAAACAACCTAAAATAATCATTTTAGCTAATTCTTCCCGATCTTTCTTAATATCGTATTTACCCATTAATCCCTTAGTACTCGGGTTAAGTTTTTATTACCCATCTTCCTTATCTAGTCCCCTAATCAAGAGGGTGGTTGTCTACCATGTGCCTACGAAGTTGACCCGTTCCCCCTCCCTTACCGGTCTCATGTTTATAAATATCCTTACAAATTCTACATCTTATATAATTTTTATCTTCTTCTAGTCTGTCAAAAAAATTCCAACACTTACTTCTTAATCTTCGATTCTTCTTAATAGGGAGGGGAGGCCTACTTGTATTACCACGACTTCCACCCCTATATTTTGAGTTTGACTAGCATTACCAGGTATAGCTGGTGGTGTTTCAAGATTATCAGGTGATGGAAATAGAATATCATCTAAATTATCATCTAAATCATCATCTATACCATAATTTTCTTGAAGTCCCTCATAATCTACATTTAAATTTTTACATGAACTTTCAGAAATATGTGTAAAGCTACTAGAAGAACAAGCACCACCTCTTGATCTTTTGAAAGTTTTCTTACTACCACCTCTACTAGTGCACGCTTTTTTGGCTGCTCTAAATATATCCATTATGTAAATTAAATTAATAATTATAAATAATAAAATAAATGTACACCAAAGAAGAGAAAGATATAGAACGAGTGTGCCGGGATTCCGGATGCCGCACTAAATTTGATATCAAAAACCAAACTTTAATTGATAGATCGATACTTGATAGTTGATACCACACTTCACTTGAATACTTGATATTTGATAATAATAATTTTGTAATGGCTAAACTAAATATTTGATGAAACTTGAAATAATAAGTAATTGAGAATTTAAGAACAATAATCAATAATATCAAGAGAGAATTAGAGTAGTAAGAGAGTGAATTGTGAGGAAAAATAAAAAAGAAGGGGGGCTATTTATAGTTTTTAAAAGATTAAAATTATAATTTATCAAATAATAGGGGTGTGGGGGCTATTTTCTTAAGAGGGTAGGCCAAAATGGCCATTTCTGCAAAAAAAGGCCGTTGGCCAACAGTCATATTTGAATTTGACTGTTGGCAATGGTAAAAAAAAACGTTAAAAATCGGGTTGAACCGGGATGTAGCCCGTTAACAACCTGTTAATGGGTTAACGAGCTTAGCAGGTTCCGGTGCACCGGTATCAAAAAACCGTTCGTTTG